TTAGCGAGATGATTACGAAGCTCTGATGAGAGAAAACGCCCTGCTGCTCTGGAGTAATGCAGACACCTGGAGCAGTTGCACTACTGAGAGGGATAATGGAATTACACCTGCACCAGTGCACTCTCTTTTTCTCTCTCCCTCTCTATTGCTTTCTCTTCAGTCATTAAGAGATTGTTTCTCTATTAAAGTACAAGCCCATTTCTCTTTTGTTGTAGTGTCTATTGGAGCGTGTATAAACCCGATTAAAGCAGGATGGTTCTTATGAATCCTAGTGTCCCTAATGAGTTCCACAGATATAATAGCTCTGTTCCAACACTTAGTGAGCTGCCTATCTAGACGGCATTTTAAGGATGCTGACACAAAGGATTTTCCCAAAGATATCTAGTTCCTTTTAAGATAACAGGTTTTGGCCAAATAGTAAGGAAACACTCGATGTATCTTTCAGATTAATGACAATCCCAGAATGGATTGCCATGCACCTATTGGAAGAAAAAAAAATTGAAAAAGATGGTGGAGGAAGTTGAGAGAAGTGTTGATTTTGAAATATATATTGCCCGTCTTGAAAATTAAAACTATTAAACATTGTTTTTATTAATTTAAATAAAGCTAAAATAAAATACAAATATTAGACAGACAACACATGGAAATTAGGAATGTTGCAACTAAAATACAAATAAGTTCAATAAAATAATCAATAATAAATTATGAAAAAAAATAAGTTCAAGCTGAAGTACCAAAATAGGTTTGAAATAAGTAGAAGTATTAAATTTAACAAAAATACAAAAAAAACGAAATGAAAAATATACTAATAAAAATGACAAAACCACATAATTACTAAAACTTTAAACATTGAAAATATAGAATAAAAGCTAATTCTAAAAAGTATAATAGCTAAAGTAGCTAAAGTAGCTAAATAGTAGTAAATAGCTAAAGCTAAATATGAATAACTACTATAGTAGTATATAAATAATACTAAAATATCACTGTATACGGCATTTACTATCAGAAATTACAGATGAAAAACGGCATTTACTATCAGAAATTACAGATGAAAAAAAAGAACTACATTGCCCAAATGGAATCTGTACTACAATCTCTGAAGGATTTCCATTTAAGAAAACAATGAAACATAAAACATTTTTTATACAATTTAATACCATGGAAATACTGAAAAATTTAATAATGACCATTTGAATGTCTTTTTGTTCTTGTTTTTTTTGCTAGTTTCCCCACAAAATCAGAACAAAAATCTGTGGAAATAATAAACAAAAGAAAACCTGCTTACCAACATTGTTAGCTTAGCAACATGCTAACCTATGAGTCAAGTGTGAGTCAATTTTCTTGTGCATTTCCTGCAAGGAGCACAATAGACAGCTAAACACCATATAATACATAATAAACCAGTCGATGATCAAATTTGGTTAGGCTGATATCTTAGAAAGCAGTTGCCTATGTAGGCAGCAGTCAGCAAAGAAGCTCAACAGGTTTAGCAACAGCGCTAAGAGCTTAGACAGGTAAAATGACGGCAGTGTGTGGTAAAAGAAAACAAATCCATGAGAATAAAGTAAGGATCTGTCAGGCAATATCAGGCAATCGAACCGGTCCGAACAGTTGTTGCTGTTTACTGTTTTCTCTAAGCAGATTTCTGTCATGTGTGATTATGCACCACTTTTAAAAATCTGTATGACTGAGAGCAATAATGACCTCTCTTGCACAGGAAGTAAGCGTTTAGACATCCTGTTCCCAGAATGTGTCACAAATATACAGACAGATGGCGAGAATGTGCAGTTAATGACATCACTTCCTGTGCAGATATATCGAAGCATCATTAAATATCAAAATATTGCCCAGAAAGAGTATGTAATATTAAAGTCGGATTACGGCAAAAAAGCGGATTAGTATTAGCATTTGTGTTTTATTAAAATTTCTAATATTAAAGGACTAGCAAATACAAACCCACCTTAAGCATATTTCTCTCACACATTTCAGATCACTGCCATGTTGGGGATATTTATTCTCACTTCTGATCTGGTTTGTGTCTTGTCTCCTTCCAGCTGTGTGCGGCTGGCAGCGAGAGGTCTGCGTGAGGCGTTGCAGGTGGAGAGATCTGCTCTACCGCCCTCTAATCTGCTAATCTGTTAAAACATGCTGTCCTCCAGCATACGCTCTCTTTGGGAGAGTGGGGTGTTAGATTATTTAAGCCCCCCGTAGCAGGAGACAGAAGATCATCCCTTCCTGATAACTGTGAAATGGAGAGGTTCATGTAAAATGACGGCTGATCGCCAAATCTGCCCAGCAAGCACTTTGCCCTAGCTTGTTTTTCCCCCTCTTATCTCTCACTCTCCATCTCTATCAGGGCATCAGCAGCATTGACATTAATTACAGACCATCGAATAGAGGTAAAAAGCGCCATCCATCAAACACAGACACATTGGAGGAGTGAGACTTACTGAGAGTGCGAGACGCGCTAAGGATAACACACTTAAATCCCACATTGAGATTTTCATTGACTGAGAAAAGAGACACAGAGGTTTCATAGAGTATATTGGGACCACAATTTTTTGCTTCGCTACAACAGCAGCCTCAGTATGGATACTAAATTTTAAAATCATGAAATGAAAATTCACCCTATCTATTTTCTAAATGTGTGTTATTGATCTTATTGTGAACAATTCATCTATACTAACATTTTTAACCTCATAATTCTTAATCAGAATATCAACTGGATCTTCCAGTGAAACGACAGACTTCTCTCTGGTGACGTATACTGGACTTCTCCAATCATTTAGTCCGCTTAAGCTCCGCCCCTTTCTTATAATCGACTGCAAGCATGCATTCAGATCTGGCTTCATCCAATCAACAACCAATGGATAGAAACAAGTCCCTGCCCTACAGTTTTTTCCCCATTTCTTCTTTTTTTCTTTTCTTTTCTTTTTTCTTTTCTTTCTGATAATCCATTTCATTCAGATGTACATCACAATTCAGAACAAATGATCTGTCGCTACATTCATTTCATTGCGATAAATAACTTGCCTCAGGTACTGTATGATGGTGATAGATTTAATAATTCAATATCAATAATTCAACAGAAAACAATGTAGAAATGTTGGCCTCAGTACTTTATTTTAGTTACTTGTGCCAGAAAATGTGTGCACTTACTGTGGAAAAAGTAAGTACACCCCTTGAACCC